ACACATACACACATGCACACATACACACACACATACACACATGCACACATACACACATACACACATGCACACATACACACATACACACAGCCATTCAAATGTGTATATATTTTGCTGCTACAGTCATTTAGCACTGCATTTCCAGAAGGTGATTGGTGACAAAAATATTGAATGTAAAAGTAAAAATCAGCAGAGACCAAGATACCAGTTTTTTGTTATTAAAATCTATTTTGTACGTTTATTTATGAAATGTTTTACCATTTGTGATTTTTCTTCACACGACAGCCACAAACTAATATGTTTTATTTATTTATTTGTACAGCTCCTAATCGTCGTCCAGGCAACGTGTCATGGAAGACTGACAGCTCGTCGGTAACGCTGAGGTGGGATCATGTGAAGGCCATGCACAATGAGTCAGCTGTGCTGGGCTACAAAGTGAGTTTGGTCCCCCTGAAGTGTGACTCATCACTCACACAGAATATGGACCTGAGAGACCGCAGTGAGACCTGATGTCCTTCAAACATATATATCTAGTTTAGTTTGAGTTTTAACATGCAACACATCATGCAGGATCTTTTTAATGTATGTCAGCTTATATTTTTTCATTTTCTTGCTGGTTTTTATCTTATATGTTTTTTGTATGTATAGTTTCTTAATGTTTATGTGTGGAGAGCTGAGCATAAGAATATCATTGTACAGTGCAGCTGCCTGTTATACTGTACATATGACATGAATCTTGAGTGCCTAAATACTCAGGTTCACCTGGTAAAGTCAATCAATCATAAGTACGTTTGTACCAAGCCAGCAGGTCATCACTGCACTCATTGTACATTTCATAATTAGCTCTATTCACACAGGAAGTAGAAAAGTCAACATTTCATTTGGACTTGCTATCTCATTATAAAAACCTGTGCCTTTACATGGAACAAACCTCTGATGTATACTGTTTGCTAATTTACACATTAACACTATAAACCGCTTTAAACCGGAACATTCAGAGTGAGATCATTGTGTTTTGTATTTTGGAATGATGTAATATCATTCATAGTTCACACAAATGCAGCTGGATGACCGGATCATGAAGATGTTCAATAATAATGACCCTCATGAAGTTTGTCTGATGTTGTGTCAGATCCTGATAAGTCTAATCTCCCATCCAGCTCATGTAAGATAGGAGAAGTCATAAAAAGGCTCAAATCATAATTTAGATACGCCTTGCCGCAGCTTATGCAGCAGGAGATACGAGATAAGCACTTTATCAATGGTGCTTTGATGTCTGAACAAACAGGCACATGCAGGATAGTCATCACTAAAAGCACGGTCAGCAGCTCTTGAATTCTGAAGATGTTTTTAAGCTAAGTGTAACATGAGTTTGAGTTTAACCTTGAGGTCTGAACTAACTTTGGCCCTGTGTGTGTCAGGTTCTGTACAAACATGAGGGCCAGACCTCTCTGAAGGTTCTGGACCAGAGCAAGACCTCCGTGAACCTGCCGCTGTCCGAAGACGACGGCGGCTACTTGGTGCTGGAGATCCGGTCCTGGGGGGAGGGGGGGGACGGCCCTGCACACGAGATCATCGTGTCCCGGGACTCAGGTGAGAATTAGAGACACTCTCAGAAGAGCTTCCTCTGAGGGTGTGAGTGAGAGTTTACGCAGAGGGGAAAAGGCCTTGAGTCCTTAAACTGGTAGAACCCTACTGAACGGAGCGTACAGAAACACTGTCTGTGGCACAGTACACACAAGCTTAATAATAATAATCATGAATCATGATATCCAGATCAAACACCCCCCTTAAGCCTCAGCATAGGAACTCCTTTATTCTCTATGCAGTGGTTTTATGATAGTGTGCTGACTTCTTATGTAACACTTTATTTAATATGATGGTGAATGATCTTCAGATATTAAAGACAGCAGTTTGCTTTGATTGGTGATCAGTGGTGTAAAGTCACTTAGTATATTTACTCAAGTACTGTACCATTTTGAGAGACCTGTACTTTACTTGAGTATTTTCATTTTTTACTACTTTGTACTTCTACTACTCCACTAATATTCAGAGGTTAAGCGTGTACCGGTACTTTTACTCCACTACATGTATTGAATACCTTTAGTTACTTCACAGATGTGGATGATGTGAAATCTAATCACGTGTTAAATCAGACTTTAGTTCCACCTGGAGTAAATTCACAAGCTACCCTGCAGTATATAAAGTCATTCAAACTAGCTGCACCTTTACCAGCTTTGAGAACACTTTAATGATCAATCATTATAAAACATCATATATATTACTCTGAATTTAGCCAATTTGCAAAGCGTTTGGCACTTTAAGTATATATTTGATGCTAATACTTTTCTACTTTTACTTGAATAACATTTTGAATGTAGGACTTTAACTGTAACAGAGTATTCCTACACTCTGGTACTTCTACTGTTCAATCTGCACATTGAAAATAAAAGTCTGACATGATGATGAAAGTTAAGTTATAAGTAAACTGATGTAATGGGAGGACATCTAATGAGACTTGTATTTAAGGGTTGTAGGCAGTGCTTCAACAGAAAGTAACCATAGAAACAGAAGAGCTATTCATCCAAGGCTGTGTTATCGTCCAGATAGGAGCATTAGGAGATCTATGATGTTGATCATAAACATGTCAGCAGTATCTGGAAAGGGCAGTGAGAGTTTATTATGCTCATGTTCCTTGGTGATAGAAGACCTTGGATGACTAAAGAAGGTCAAAAGGAGCACATATGTTTCTGATAGAATACTTTGTAGATTTTTTACACTTTCCTGCAGAACCCCTTTTTCCAAACAAAAGCATGAACCATTTATGTGGACCTACCTTACCAGACATCTGATGCCACCTTTTGCTCTTTGATTTGTTTTTATACCACCAGTTACAAAGACACGGGGACATATTTGAACCTGAAGTACCGATACTGCAAATATGAATATATCAACTGTTAAACTGCCCCTTGCCCTCTGCCCTCTGCCCCTCACAGGAACTGGTATGATGGTGCAGAACGATGCCCCCCCCACCCTGCCCCGTCTCCCTCTCCTCCTGCTCAGTGGCTTGGTTCTTCTCACTCTTGTGTCGTTGTCCGGCCTGTGATCTCAGCCAATCAGGGACTCTTTCCTTTTGATGGCTTGAAACTAAAGCTCAGTCTGTGCTTTGGGGGGGGTGGGGGGGGGGGGGGGTTCTGGTAGAATAGTAAAGGTTAAGTCTGCAGGGATTGGAGGGCTGGGGGAGAAAGGAGTGGTTTCAGTATTCATTTTATGAATACTCAGTTATGTGTGAGTGTGTTTCTGTGTTCCGGTGTCAGTCAGACCATGCCTTACCATCACATCTGGGACTGACCCGTCTCTTACACCTGTCCTCCAAAGTGTAGCCGTAGAGACATAGGTGTAAATGGTTCATGAATAATGTGTATACCTGTACATAGAGACAGTGTGATGCTGCCTGTTCACACTGAGAGCAGCTCCGTACAGCAGGCTCTGATCTCCCCGGCTGACGGTGAGAGAAGCTCTGCATCTCAAAGACTAAGCTCCTCACTGATTGTTAGGGAGGATGACGTGCTACTGGGCCCTGAATAAAAACACAACTGCACATTTGAAACAATTTTCAGTCTTGGATAATCATTAACAACGACAGAATCATCAAGTTGGTGTGGAACGTTTTTTGATTAAAACAGGAAACAGGAAACTAAAATACATGACTTCCATAACAATAAAACAATTATTTAAATACTTCTGGATTTATTAACGTAACGTGCTTTTTTTTGTACAGAAAATGAAACAGTTATTAACATAAATAAACCTCAGAAGCCAATTAGTAAACATACTAAATGAGATATGTACATGTATCACTGAAATAACTCAACAAGATCACAAAATCCTGAGGGACCTTTTTTTTCATTTGATGACTAAACACAGCTACCTAAGAGCTAACACAGCCCACACTGGGCACACTTTCAAAACATTCAGCAGAACAATGATATGGGGGTGTGAGAGTTTAGTGGATGGAACACGGCCCGTCCCCACAGCCGTCAGAGAGCAGCTGTTTGACCCCTGCCTTCCTGCTGGTTGCTCTCAGTGTGAACACAGACAGGCATTGAAGCACTGAAGAACTTTTTACTATTGGTTTTCAGCTCCTGCTAATGTCTGTATGCTTATTTGTGTTTTGTCTCAGCTGTAATTATAGCAAGCTACAGAAATATGTCAACTGTCAAAATGAATGTTTACATTTTTCTATGTGTTATCTCTCATTTTGGGGGAAGCTCATTTGGATGGTTGAAGCGAGCTTTCATTTCCTGTTTGATTATTTGTGACTGCATTGTTTTGGAATGATTCTGACGACAATGTACCACGCTCTGTGCAGTGTGTTTTGGGTTTTATGCAGGAAACAGTGTCATACATCCTGCTCATTGTAATCCTGTCAGCTCTATCAGCACTTGTCTGGTTCACTGCAGTTTACAGGAAGGATGTGTGTGTAGGGTTCCTCAGTACACACCTGTCTGTTCAGCATGTCAAAGACAGGCTTAAACATTTCTGTCTCCTGCTGTTGCCTTAATATGTTGGTTGATTTTCTCAGAACTGTCTAAACTGTTTGCTGTCAACAGTCGAATACTCATTGGTTAAATGGTTACAGGTTTAGAGTGTCGTCAACCAGAATATACAGTTCTTGTTTTCTGTACTTTCTGCCAAAAACACAGCTCTGTCTTTAAATGATGTATAAATGTATTTTCTATAATACCCATATGTCCAGAAGCTCAGTCCATCTCAAGTCTTTACGAAGTCTGCACTGAAGAACCTGAAACGTTGACTTGAATTAAATGTATTATGTCAACAGATTACGTTTAAATAAAAGATATTAGGTTCAACTTAATATTATTGCTTTCAACTAACCTAATACAGTTATGTGAAATCTGTAAACATAATACATTTAATTAAGGTTCATGTTTAATTTGTGATCAGCCCTATGGTTCCCTTACTGACCTTTAGCTGCATCCCATAGTGTTCCAGTATCCATTAGCTCAAGCTCTACTCACTTAGACTGATGTTGAGAGGAAGAAGCGCTAAGTGTTTCAGGGTGAAGGCTGCAGAGCCAAAGCACCAGTTGGTGAATCTCAGGATGTACCCTAATGTACAGATTCTCAAGCTGCTCTGCATGGCTTTTCTCACTCTTTCTTTAAATACCAGCATCATTGTTAGAACCTGCTCTGATTTCAAATGAGAAAGTTCTCTTTAACCCATTAACTCTGGATGGGAAATGAAAGGAACTTCCATCTTGTGTATGTCCTTTATGTGTTACCTCAGTATTACATGTTATGTTTGCAAGTGGTCAATGACAGACTACTTTATTGATGTGCTTTATTTTGTCAGGAAAATGTCATTTTTTAAACATGTTTTATACTTTTGCTCCTACAAGATCATTTAATTTATATTAGTGTAGATACAGGACACTCCAAATACACTTTGTAGACTTTTAACTGTAGACAGCCATCATTATTATTGCAAAACTCAGGTTTAAATCTGGATTAGACCAATGTATGTGTGTGCTGATATTTGGTCCACCTCTGGGCCTACAATCTGGTCTGAATATGTATTCTGGGTTTGCTGGCAGCTACAGTTGGTCCTCCTTGGAACCCTGCATGGTCTAACCCAGGATTAAACCCCACCTCTGCCCCTCATGCTGAGTCTCAGCTGCTCCGGCTCAGGTGTCTGAGAACCTGTGAATGATGTCCTGTTTTCTGTGTGTTTGTGTTTAACTCTGTACAAAGTGTTTTCACCATGCCTTTAGTATTCAGTGAAGAGCCATAGAGTCATTCACCATGTCGGGGGCTGCTCTCTGGATGTTGGACGGAGGGTCTCTCACTCACTGTCGGTGGCTGAATGCACTGGATATTGTTGCCTTTGGGCCTTTTCACAATTGTGATAGAAAGAAAATGTGAGGGAGGGGGGGATACTTGTAAATAAGATTTCAAATAAACAACTTGGGATTGTACTTGAGTAACTTGTGTATTTACTACGTTCACAGTTGTTGTGTTACGGTATGTAACCGGTAAGCTTGAAGGCACCTCTTAAGGAGGCCCAGACCACAGAACAACAACAACAACGAGTAACAAATAACTATTTACATGTTAGTGACCCACTCAAGTCACACCAGTTGAATATTATCTTGGGAAAGAAAAATGTGTTCAATAACACAGATTTATAAAAAAAACTTGGAGAGGAGTCAATATTTATAGCTGAAGGTCAAATGAAAATACATATTTGATGGGGCTTAAATTCAATGAAGTTAAATTATACAGAATGTATTTTACAACTGACTCGTTAATACTCACATCTATTGTTGGCTGTGGATCACAGTCCATTTCAAATGACCAACAGCAGTCTGAAGACGCGGGAGGTTTCCTTTGCAAAGACTGAACACCTTATTGTTTAAAATGGTGTGTGTGTGTGTGTGCGTGCGTGCGTGCGTGCGTGCGTGCGTGCGTGCGTGCGTGTGTGCGTGTGTGTGTGTGTGTTTTGAATAAGTTACACTAAAGCTAATTGATATTCCCCAAAGCCTCATCGGTTGCACTCTATCCCAGAAACCCTGTCCACACACTGAACCAAACCCAGAGCACTCAGTCTGGGTTGGTGATTGCTTTGATCAAAAGATGCAATGCAGAATAAATATGACACAGCTTTGGAGATGGCAGACAGTGTGGTGTAAATTCCCCTCTGCTTACAGTCTGGTATTAAACTAGGTTGTATACATCCTGGATCTCTTCTATTCCAAAAACAGAACACTGATAACAGACAACCCGTCTGACAAGAGCAAACAAAGACTGTCCTGACCCAGGACTTGCACACAGGAAACAGACCCGATCCCAGCAGGAATGTGCAAGATCCACTTCCTGTTCCAAGTTCATTTACTACATTAACCATTCCGTTATTAATGATGATTATTTCCTTTAACGTATTCTTGTAAATGTACACTGTTTGCACCTTTCACCCCTGTAGCTGAGATGAAGGAATGTACTGATAGCTCATTTCCCAGCAGGTCTCTTTCTTACATGTCCTACCTGGAGGTGGGGGTATTATGTATATGAGACAACCTGTGCCTTATCAGCTGCACTTTGCTACCATGCAGCTATTAGTTATTAATGAGTAAATTATAAATATCTGACCTGAGTCCACCGAGCTGTAGACTCTGCTTCTGTTTCTCTCGACGAAAGGTAACGACTCTATCAGCTGCCTAATAAAAAATATGCGATTTTCTAAAAAGTGTTACTGCAATTATTATTATTAGCTGCAAGTAGGATTTTATGACATTTCAAATAGAATGTTTAGCATATACAATTGGATAGATGTTGAATTGTCTGTAAAGTTGCCATGAGTTAACATACTTATTGTTTCGGGGCTGCATGGTATTTGTATTTGATCATCATCTTAATGTTGTATGATCCTCACAGGTTTGCTGCTGCAGAAGAACACTGACTGGATCGAAATGAGACTCCTCACAGGTAAACACCATCCACTTCTTTCACATACAGTACAGAATACCAAGATGGCAATAACTCTAAGAAACATATCGTTTACATTATGTAAATCTCCTGAAGAGATATCAATCATTCACTATCACATTCACTGACCTGAGGCATGGGGGAAGAATGCACATTCAACTTAGTACACAATTAAAACATGTAAACACTACACAAAACATTTTGAACATTAAGCAACACAAATCTAATTTGGTAGTTATTTCTTTATATTGTACCATCATCAATTCATGTATCTGTTTTATGAATTTGTCCGTGCTCTCTGTTTTTAACATGCAATAATTGTAGTATTTATTTAAGCAATATTCAAAGTTAAAAGTTTGCAAAAATATGATAATAAGAATTACAATTAAATGGGTCACATAACACAATAGGATTTTAGATTTGCACTCTCTTTAACAAAGACATTGAATAGTCGGATGTTGTTCAAAATGACCTGTGGAATATATTTATCATTTTTCTTGCAGGTACTTTAGTTGTTGTTTTGCACCCATTTTGTTCATTCATTAAAAACGATCTATTTACTCAACACCTCCCATGCCTCTAACCCCAGTGTCCTCTTCCTGTTCTCTTTGTTCCCGCAGCTCTGGGCGTCCTGCTCATCCTGCACACCGGTAAGCATTAGTTCAGTACAGGCAGAGACCTTTCCTCACACTTTGATCAAAGTTTCAGAACAGACACAGATACAATCAACTCACCCCCCCACCCCCCACCCCCTCTGTCTCCCCTCAGCCACCTCCAGCAGGCTGGTGTGTCACATGACCAACTGGGCCCAGTACAGGCCCAGCAGCGGCAAATTCACCTCGGACAACATCGACCCCTTCCTGTGCACGCACGTGATCTACGCCCTGTCCACCATCAACAGCTTCAACCAGATCACCCCCATCGAGTGGAACGACGAGCAGCAGTTCACCGGCCTCAACCGGCTCAAGAATGTGTGAGTAGATATGTGAGGGGGGAAAGGTCTGAGGATCATGAGGGCACTGAATCACTGCAGTTAGCTCAGGTCAAGACACTTCACCCCAAACTGCTCCTGTGGGGAGTGTATGCAAGTCGCTTTGGTTAAAGCATCTATCAAGTGATATGTAATGTAACGTTTTCAGCCTGGAATGCTCTTCTGTTAATTCAAAGGACATATCCTGGATCAGCTGAAATCTTTTAATGGATGTGTAGCAAGTCCAGAAATGATTTCAGTACTCTGTATAACGTTGAAGCGACTGAATAAACAGTTTACAAATGAGATGTTGTAGTAAGTGTGATGTGTTCAAAAGGAACTGTAAACCAATAACCAAAAATACACTCCTAACTACAATACACATGTTATTGCAATATTAAATCTGATAGATTCAACTAGTCAAGTTGTGAAGGACATGTTTCTATCATCAATATAACTTTGCCCTCTCTCTGCTGTTAGTAATCCTGTGCTGAAGACCCTGCTGTCAGTGGGAGGCACCGTCAATGGAATCAGCCCGTAAGTGCAAATATGACCTGGATATTCAGGAGGTTGTACACCTCCTCGGCTGCTGTGTCACCAGAATGTAAATTGCAGTATCATTTTATACATCCCACCAGATTCATCGCCATGGTTGCCAAGATTGAGAGCCGTGCAACTTTCATCAAGTCTGTCATCAGTTACCTGCGCACCAACAACTTTGACGGGCTGAACCTGGCCTGGGAGTACCCGGGACACCACGGCAGTCAGGAGCAGGATAAGGAGAGGTTCACCCTGCTGGTGACGGTGAGCATGTGATACTGTTCATCATTCACTGTGTGGTACATTTGGCCTTTGGTCTCACTCTAAGAGGTCATTCTCTTCCATCAGAGGGAACATTATGAATTGTATGCAGCTTACAGCTCCATGCTAGAGGCCCTATTCTGATTTTTGGGGTTTCCCTCTCTTGTAGTGTCTACAGGTTTTTGTGCATGTCAATGGTCTGCAAAGACTAACATCCCTGTGTTCCCTCCATAGGGAGTTTTGTCTCCCACACAAACTCCCCTGCGTGAAACACCTCCATTGGACTCCTTTGTTTACTTCCAGAAGATAGTGACCTTACTATGTAACACTTGCACATCTATTGGCTAGCGCTCCAACACAATTTACATGATAGGCTAAGCGGCGTAACATCTATGAACTGTTGACCAATCACAACAGAGCCGGCCAGCTAACCAATCAGAGCANGAGACATGAAGAAGAGGGGACACATGTTGATGTAGAAGAGACATGAAGAAGAGGGGACACATGTTGATGTAGAAGAGACGAAAATACTTAAAATATCTATATATAGATGTTAGTTATAATTAAATATTTGTTTCTAATATATCATATTTAAAATATATGTTTTACTCAAATAGGTTTATCTCACAGCTTTAGTTGCTTTAATCTGTTTTAAATGCTAAATCTCAATTTTAAATATTTTGTTAGAATTAAAAGAAAAATACAAAAGATCTGATTTATTGAGGTATGAAGAAAAAATGTAGAAATTGTTTAAAATGTTTCATACGATTTATCATATTTTTGGAGATTTTTCTCCCTTAGGTTATTTTATGTTTAATGATTTTTTTATTATCATTTTCATGGCAGGACTTTTACTTCTTATAGAGTATTTTTACTTAAGGATCTGAATACTTCTTCCACACATACCTTGTAATATAAATCAATACGATTTTAGTAGTAGTGTTAAAGTTGACCTATCATGCTATTTGTAGGCAATAGCATAGGTCTCAGATATATACAAATATATAAAAAACATGTCTATGAAGTGTTTTGCTCAAAATACCAAACAGATCACCCATTCTAGCCATGCCTCATATCCCTCTATTTCACTTCCTGTTTCAAAAGTGCTGATTTTGGGTATAAAGCTTTAAAAAATAGATTAGACAGCTACTGTCTAAACTAAATACTGCCGTGATGAAACGCCATATCATGGATTATCAAGGATTATTTCTGAAACAGTATGGAGCTCAAAGGCTTTCTCTCTTGCCGGTTATACCACAAGGCGAGTTCCTTTTTATTTCCTGCTTCTTCACACACATGCTCTCCAGTACAGGTTAGCTCTGAGTGTTAGCGATGCTAATGTAAACACCGACCATATTACGTCCAAAACAGTCGGCATTGTGGTCCACATTTCCGATATTACGTCATATCGGCCACAAATCTGGATCAGCTCCGTTGTACCCCCGTTTTTAGAGATTTGGGTACGGAGGAAAAGAGAGAGGGTTTTATTTTCTGACACTGCGTGAGTTCCCTGACACACCGGGGGGACATATTTATGTATAAAATACATTAAAAAGTGCATTTTGCATGATAGGTCCCCCTTTAAAGCATGGAGACATGTCACAGTAGAGACACTACATACTGATATACAGTACACCTGAAGATGAGCAAAATATGTCCTCTTTTGAGTAAATTATAAATATGATTGAGTTTTGAGTTATTTTAAACCTCCTTACAAACTAATGACCATGATAACAAGACCTGTGTAGTAGCTGTGTGAAGCACTACATGGACACAGTGGATGTTAAGCTAAAGGCTAAGGTTCATGATGTTAACAAGCACTGACACTAAGTGGTTAAAATGTATTCACCATCATAATTAAGCATTTTAGCAGATAATAGTTTAACCTAATGGGAATGTTTGCATGTCTCTGGTCATAAACCTAAGTAACAACTTGAGTATCTTTACAACATTTCCTGGCAAACTCATTCTATCGTTTTTGAGACATTTTAGTGTATATCAGAATGGATACCTGAGCATCCGACTGATATCCCTATCAAAGAGACACACCGCCAGCAAGGCTAAAATCATGGTACATGGAATACAAGTTGTACACCTCTTTCATGCATTCGTTTTGGAGTGTCTAAACAACAAATAGATGATAGAAATGTCTTCATGTACACCTGTGGTGCTGCAGTAGACGATGTGTATCTGAGGTTCTATTGGTTCTGCCTGCAGGAGCTGGCCAAGGCCTTTGAGGACGATGCTAGAGAAAACAGGAAGACCCCGCTGCTGCTGACGGCCAACGTGGCTGCCTTCAGGCCCACCATCGACCGAGCCTACGAGGTCCAGAAGATTGCACCGTGAGTTTCACTTCAATCCAGTCAGTGTATGTTTAGAAATGTATAGTATCCTCGATAGTTCGGTTTGGATATCTGTAGCAGAACACTTTCTGGGGGGGTTTGGCATAGAAATATGAGAAGAATTTAACAGGAGACCAGTATTCACTGATAGGGAGGACATTGATCATTGGACTTTTATCTGTTTACAGAAAGAATTGACTCTTTATTCACTGAAACTGATACATTGACTTTAATTAAATGTATTATGTCAACAGATTTCTCATAACTGTTTTAGGTTAGTTGAGAGTAATCATTTCAAGTTAAAATAAAGAAGATTAGGTTCAACTTAATATTATTTCTTGCAGTTGTGTGAAATTGCTTGACATCATATATTAATTTAAAGTCAATATTTCAGTTTTTTCAGTGTTGTTAAACAAAATACTCTTCATGCTCTTTCAACTATGTCCTTCCCCAACTGTAAAAATCCTTCCACTTCTGATTTTTAAATCAACAGTCACCTTGATTTCATCAATGTCATGACCTATGACTACCACGGGCACTGGGAGGCAGCGACCGGACACAACAGCCCCCTGTACGGCAGCTCCATGGACTCCGGCACACACATACATCACAACATCGTAAGAAACACACAAAGACGCACAACAGACAGACAGCTGCACTTTACTCATACTCTGTGATATTACTCTCTTCGTTGGTTTGGCTGGACTTTGAAGAGGTTTTATCTGACTTATAAGAACTACATTTAAGGTGTATATGCTTAATAGGATTACACAAAGCCTTTTCCACTTGTGACAATGAGCCTTGATATAATGTAAAGCATGTTAAAGACAGAGCATTTAGTTAGACACGCTCCCAGGTTAGCTCTGATTTGGTCTCCACCCAATCCTGAGGAAGACATCTGCCTTTCTAGCTGCTATACTTTTGACTTTAATAAGGAGCTGAATCATCACTGTGGATATCTACTGTTGGACAAGAAATACTGGAACACTTCTCATTCCAGGGAGTAGTCTGATCCAACGTTGATATAAATACTTTGAGTTGAGTTTCCTGCTGAAGTGTTTATCTCCTCTGTCCTTTGTGTCAGAACGCTTCCATATCTCATTGGCTGGTGAATGGGGCCCCAGCTGAGAAGCTGCTGTTGGGTTTCCCCACCTACGGACGCACCTACCGTCTGAGCACCGGGGCCACCGGCCTGGGGGCCCCGTCCAACGGCCCCGCAGACGCCGGACCCTACACTCGCACCGCCGGATTCTGGTCTTCCTACGAGGTACTGCCCATGCTAAACTCAGCTTTAACCTCTGACAGGAGATTCACCAGGAGCAGAACAAACACTCATTCCTGCCTTCGTCCATTTAGCTGCTCCACACTATATAATGTAATATAGTTGTAAATGTTGGCCATGAGGGTAGAACAATAGGTCACCATTGTCAGAAGTTGTGTCAAAGGCAAAGTCAACTTTATTGTCAACCTTTCTGTTTGTGTGATAAAGAAAGGGAGATCAAAATGCTGTTTCTCACAGATGAGGATGAATATATGACAACAGTAAATTCTGTGTGTATGCGCAAGCTGTGTATATGTACATAAGTCATTTGTTAATATTTTATTGTCTTTTATCGTGTACTAAGTAGAATGTATGATTTTTATCTTCGTTGGAACTCCAGGACAGAGTCCAGAGAAAATGTCCTTACGTGGAAAATAAAGTAGATTGTCTCCTAATGTTAGTTTACTTTGTGTTGAAAGTCAATATTTTCCCATTCAGGAATTAATTAATGAAATGTCAAATATCACTCAATAGAAGGCAATCAAGCCTCATTTCCATAATATATCTGTAATCTACTGTTGGTATGCATACTGGTATATCCCTCAAATGAGGAGGAACTAACACTCATGCCAATTTTTTTATATGAAAAATGTAACTCCACTGTAACAAGATGACTGTGGTCCCTTATGTACAAATAAATAGAATCAGAATGATAAATGTGTTCAGTACAGATGGTAATCTCTGTCCTTATGTTTATGTATTGCCAGGTCTGTGCCTTCACCTCCGGTGCTAATGTTGAGTGGATCTCTGAGCAGCAGGTCCCCTATGCCACCTATGGCAGTGCCTGGCTGGGCTACGACGACAAGCGCAGCTTCTCTTCCAAGGTAACTCATTATTACCCATTATGTCCTGCAGTTCTGACCTCATTGGGGAAACTTAATGATAAATGTTCTTGTGAAGTATTTGCGTTATATAGTGAAGGGTTTGTGGAGGAGAGTTAACAACCCTCAAACTAGTAGAACTTCTATTACACTGAAAAAACTAAAACGTTGACTTTAATTAAATGTATTATGTCAACTAATTTCACGTAACTGTATTAGGTTAGTTGAAATAAATTATATTATATTATATTCCAATATTATTTTTATTATTTTACTTAATATCATTGCTTTCAACAAACCTAATACAGTTTTGTGAAATCAGTTGACATTATACATTTAATTAAAGTCAACGGTTCAGTTTTTTTCTGGGTACTTACTTCCTTGTTGTTTGTTTGCTGGACCTGTATCTGAGTTTAATGTTCTCTGTTACTGATGCGGTGGTCCTGTAGGTCCAGTACATGACTGCCAAAAACCTGGGGGGGGCTCATGTGTGGACTCTGGACATGGATGACTTCAGTGGATCCTTCTGCTCAGACGGAGCCTACCCTCTCATCAACCACCTCAGGGTGTCAATGGGTAAATACTGGAGCTCCTCCCACTCAAAGCCATATCCATCACTGTGAAGGTTTAATATTTAAAAAAACGTCTTCGGATAAAAAAGTATAATGTGAACAATTGTATGCCTCAGATGATCATTAGCACATGTGCCTTACAGCTTACAGATCACAGTGTACAAAAACATTAAGTCCCTGTATCTGGAACTGAACTATAGTATTTACTTTATGATCCAAACAACCTGTCAAGATCTAGAAATTATTTTACACTAATTTCCACACCTGAAACACCACAATACAGACTAAAGTGAGAACTGTTTAGGCAGAAGGTTAACTTACTCATACAGTATGTCTTGAAAATGTATAAAATATAAAATACACAACAGTGGGGGCAGTGCAAGACCCTCAGGGTTCCACCACCCTGAAGCTGCTGACTGACATTATATTGCACGTTGTTCAATGTCTTTAAATATTTCCACGGTAAGTACACAAGTGTTTGACACCCCTGGTTTATGACATTACTTTCTGATTTTGCAGGTTTCCCCTCAAAGCCCACCACCACCCCGGCCCCAGCCACCACCAGAGACCCTATTGCAGAATTCTGCCGTGGACGTCCTGATGGCCTGTATGAGAACCCCACTAATGAGAAGACTTACTTCCAGTGCTTCCTGGGGAACACGTACCTGCACCACTGCCAGGCCGGCCTCATCTACTGGGACTCCTGCAAGTGCTGCAGCTATCCCTGAGCACCCCCCCACACACACACACACACACACACACACACACACCGAGCCTCTGGGGGTTCACAACAGTGATTTCTGTTTCAGACACGCAGTGTCACCTTTACTGAATAACCTTACAGTGCTGTTTTCTCTTTGTGGCCCACTGCTTTTTCAATAAATAAATCAATCATCATTATGACCTGATACATGGCTGATTGACTTTTATTCTTGCGTTTTACAAGATAATCTGACATTTTTCTATATTATATAAATATTTCATTTCAAATTTCAAGAATAAATAATTGTTATACTCTGCTTCCTGACACTTATATCAGTCAAGCTATTTTCAAGTAAAGGTTCAAATTCCATTACTTGTGTGCACTACAAAACACACGCTGTTTTCTGTCTCTCTGTGAACCTATTAATAATGAGCTGGCTATAAATAAAGTGTGTGTTCTAGAATGAAATCCATCGTTGTGAAGTTTTGTGAAATGAATACTGAGTGTTTTGAGTGTATTTCTTCCTGGGTAGAATTGTGTAAAATGTCTCACTGGTGTGTGTTAACAATTTTGTAAGTGCAAACTTTCTTAAAAGTGCAGTTAATTACTTTTTTTGCTGATGCCTTAACCACCTACAGATCACTTCTTATAGGGGTCTTTGGAATATTTCTACGGATTGACATAGGCAGGAAGAGGACAGGAAGTAGAAAGGTTATTCTTGGCACTCCTGCTTTACGCGGGAGTTTCAAGGTCGGTGTAGGAGATGATTCAGGGACCTCCAGTCCTAGTGCAAATGTCACAAACACCTTTTTTGACTTATCAAAACCTTGGATTCTAGCCTATCTTCAGACAAATTCAACTTCCATCTAGAAGTGAGCAGACAATCTGAACCACAGGCAGCAGACATCTCTAGCTTCACTCATCATTTTACAGCGTGGCCTATTTTAGGCACTCCAGCCACGGATGTCTGACCGCTAAGATAGCAAAAACGGAGTGTATAGTGTAGTAGGTGTTGGTGGGCTGGTAGAACCCCAGCGCAGTATCAAAACTGCCCCTGGAGGGTAAACCCCGTGTCGTTGGGAGACCCCTTGGTAATTAGGGCAGCTTCAGGATCCACAATTTTGATCCCCAGTTATACCAATCAAAACAATGCAAATGTAATATCAAACACAGCCAGAGTCAAATATTAATATCACAGCAGTGACACTACCAGCTAGAGTTAAATTATTAATATCACAGCAGTGACATCACCAGCCAGAGTCAAATATTAATATATCACAGCAGTGACACTACCCCATCAGCAGAGCATATGTCATATTTCAACATCAATCAAAACCACATCAACCACAGTAACCAATGTGATACTGTAGTTTAACCTTAGCAGAGTTTCTATTCCCCTTAAACAATTTAAAATCCAAATCATCAACTAATGTCAGCCTTTTCCAAGGAAGGGTGTTCTTACCTCACTCTAAGACCAAGCAGATACCTTCAGAGACAACGAAAGAGACCAGGAGTTGGGTCGAAATGTACAAAGTACAAACCGGTTTTATTAAGATTTTCATAAAAATAAAGGATTACAAGAATCCTTAAAAAATAACAAAGACACCAAGTCAAAATACAAAAGCAACAGGTTCACAACTCAAATGTCCTAAAAAGCCGTCTAAAAGAGCCCAAGCCCAGGCCCAGGGCTTGGGCCTCAGAAAACTTCCCCTAAGCTCTCAAGCCTCCAAGCCTTCAAGCCTCCAAGCTCTCAAGCCTCCAAGCTCTCAAGCCTCCAAGCCTCCAAGCCTCCAAGCCTCCAAGCCTCCAAGCCTTCAAGCCTCCAAGCTCTCAAGCCTCCAAACTCTCAAGCCTCCAAGCTCTCAAGCCTCCAAGCCTCCAAGCTCTCAAGCCTCCAAGCCTCCAAGCCTCCAAGCTCTCAAGCCTCCAAGCCTCCAAGCTGTCAAGCCTCCAAGCCTCCAAGCTCTCAAGCCTCCGAGCTCTCAAGCCTTCAAGCCTTCCAAAAAGCCTAAAAAGCCTAATCAATCAATCAATCAATCAATCAATGTTTATTTATATAGCCCAATATCACAAATGTTACATTTGTCTCAGTGGACTTCACAGTTTGTACAGAATATCAGTATGACAATACGACACCCTCTGTCCTTAGACCCTTACATCGTACAAGGGAAAAAACCTCCGGAGAAAACCCCACAGTTTAAAGGGAAAAATGGGAGAATCCTCAGGGAGAGCAACAGAGGAGGGATCCCTCTCCCAGGACGGACAGACGTGCAATAGATGCCGTGTGTAAATTGAAAAGATAATACATTTGC